TGGGGTCACCCTCCAGCAGTGACAAATGGAGTAGGGCAGGAGCCACCGAGGGTCCTGCGTGCAGCTGGCTGGAACAGCAGAGGGGCCCACAAGTCCTGCCCACCTGCTTCAGGCTGTGGCTCAGGGAAGGACCTGCATGGCCCCACCTGGGCTAAGGAGCCATGGTGAGTGGGCAGAGAGGGGCAGGCAGGAGGGGGCCAGGGCAGGCGACAGGATGGGCGTAAGACGGGGGCAAGGTGGGATGGGGCCGTCAGGAAGGGCGTGAACTGGCAAGTGTGCAAGGAGCAGAGGGTTTGGGCACCCAGGGCCAGAGCCCGGGGACACTGGTGGAAGGAGAAGGGAACCGGAGGGCGAGGCTTGCAGGGCCTCGAGTGTCTGTGCTCAAGGAAACGGAGGAGCACGCCCCAGCTGGGGTCTCCACTCTAAACCCCAGTGCTCCCGACGCACCTTCATGACGGGCTGTGCGAAATACCGGGCGCTCCAGTCGCAGAATCCCGTCTGCATGGTGGCCGAGATGAAGCTTTTGTGTCCAGCAGCTTCGTCCGCATCGTCTGCAGTCTTCCGGGCGTTTGGAAAGGAGGCGGGTTGGAAGAAAGGAGAAGACATCAGTCAGTCACAGAGCTCCCTATGCTTTCTCATGTGCTCGAAAGAGTTCCTAACGGGACAAGGTTGCAGCGGTTAGCAATGGCGTGGCTCCTGGGGACACCACGTCTGTGCTCCTCTCTCTTCTGCATCCTGGTGACAAAGAAACCCTGAATGTCTGCACACGACTTGAGGGGCCCAGGCGCAATGCACGTCTGCCCCTCTGTCCCTGCGAGGCAGGGCCTGCAGAGCCATGCTCACTGCCCCCACTGATGTCTAGGCAGGGCCTGTGGAGGTCCACATGTACCAGTTCATCAATCCCCAAAAAGCCTCTGCTGCCTGGTATGGGGACTGCACTTCCAACAGCCACACCAGCAGCTGGTTGAGTGCAGGGGCTCCTGGTCCCTGGGGTCTGCCCTGTGTGAAGTGGCCTCGGATGGAGGCACTGGGACTACCAACCACTTACAGTGCTAGAAGTTGTGATGAGGACTATGCTCTGGCTGTTTCCCACTGCACGACTGAAATGGCCAGGGCTATAGAAGGTGGTGTCAGCTCATTCAATGTGGCTGGGCACAGAAGGCCCCTAGAGCCGTGTCACATGCTAGGGACGGCGCTGAGGCACCCCTCATGCTGCATCTTTGCAGAGAGGAGCTCCCCATCATCCAGGGGGAGATATAGCGAGAGGGGCTGATCTGCCTGGAAGTGCCTGCTGTAGCTCCACAATGCCACTGACAGGTGGGGGTGGGGAGCCACATGTGTCTGCACCAGCTGCCCTGCTCAGCTGGCCGGTGCTGCCCTCCTTCCCCCGTCCAGGCTGCAACGATGTGGCCTCTGCCCCGTGTCAGGGCCCAGCCAGGAGGCTGTGCCTGCACCTGAGCTCACTGGCAGTTCCCACCCCTTGGCTGTCCAGGTACTCAAAGTCAGGGTGGGCTTGGGGCTAAGCAGCAGCACAGGACCCTGCCCAGCTCCTGCTGTGCCCACCTTTCCAATCACCACGATGGTGACTCTTGCTCCAAAGTCAACTTGAAAGGTGGCTGTTAACCTCTTTCTTAAGTCACTGGGTGATAAAGAGAGCCGTGGCACCCCCTCCACTGCTAAGAGAGCTAACTACTGCCTACGGCAGCTGGACGTCCTCGGCATGTTCTGAACAAACTTCCTTAGACTGAGAAAGCGTCAAATGATCTGAACAAGACAGCAGAGGTCTCCAGACCAGTCACCACCTTACGTGGTCTGCGTAACCCTGGCAAATAAAAGCACAAGTTCCTCTCTCTCTTGAAATCCCTTTTCAACTTAGTTAAAGGCAAAGAGAGTACACCTATGTATGTAGTTTATGGGAAAAACAACCCATTTGGAGTAAACACTCAGAACAGCAGCTGCCACATCAAGTGGAGGCAAAATACTACGTACCTGTGAAGAAAAAAAGCAAACTAACTCCATGTTCTCGTTTTGTTACGTGGAAGTGGCCTCGATAGCGGGCCTGGGACAAGAGGCTGCAGGAATAAGCCGCAGGCCCTGCACGCTGGAGGGGGGCAGCTGCACACAGGGGGCCGAGGCAGGGAGCTACTGCCTGGGGCTACCCGAGAAGCAAAGCTGTCAGCATCCAGCTCACCAGATTTAGTGTTCACACATCGCAGGTGTCACAAAATGGTCCGAGTCTGTACCTGATCTGGGC